AGTGGTGCCATAAGGCTCACTGTAGTCTCGACATCCCTGGCTCAAGCAATCATCCCACCTCAGCCTTCCATGTAGCTGGGAATACAGGCATGCACCATCATGCCTGGCTAATTTTTAAAATTTTTTTGTAGAGACAGAGTCTTGCCATATTGCCCAGGCTGCTTTTGAACTCCTGGGCTCAAGCAAACCTCTCTCTCCTTAGTCCCTCACCCAAATGCTGCAATTATAGGTGTGAGCCACTGTACCTGGCCAACAGGAATAATTTTGTGTCCTCAGGAAGCATGCTTGAGGAACGGAGGAGAGGTAATATGATATAGTGGTGGATAAATGGATTCTTTTTTTTTTTTTGAGATGAAGTCTCAGTCTCTCCCAGGCTGGAATGCAGTGGCACTATCTTGGCTCACTGCAACCTCCACCTCCTGGGTTCAAGTGATTCTCCTGCCTCAGCCTCCCGAGTAGCTGAGACTACAGACGCACACCACCACGCCCACCCAGCTAATTTTTTTTGTATTTTTAGTAGAGTCAGGGTTTCACCATGTTGGCCAGGATGGTCTTGATCTCTTGACCTCGTGATCTACCTGTCTCAGCCTCCTAAACCTCTGGAATTACAGGTGTGAGTCCCCACGCCCGGCCAGATACATGGATTCTTATACCAGACTTCTGGAGTCCAAATCCTGGCACCCCCCACTTGCTAGGGATGTGACTCTGGATAAGTTATTTTAATCTCCCTGTGCCTCAGTTTCCTCTACTGTGCCATAGGTTTAATATCAGTGCCTACCTCAAATGGTTGTTACAAGGATTGAATGAGCTTTTAGCTATAACATGCATAAGGTACCTAGTGCTGTATAAGTGTTCAGTATATGAATAATAAAATTAACAAAAGGATCTTATTTCTGGCTGGGTTTGGTGACGCACGCCTGTAATCTTAGAACTTTGGGAGGTCAAGGAAGGAGCATTATTTGAGACTATAAGTTCAAGACCAGCCTTGGCAAAATCACAAATCTGTCTCTACAAAAATAATAATAAAACTAAGTAATAGAATCTTATTTCTTTCAGGGGAAGGAGTATAATTGCTATGAAAAAAAGTTAATCAACTGGAAAATAAAGTCAAAGTAAACTCATAAAGTAAAATAGTGGCAGCCCAATACACATGGCATGACATCATTTGTGGGGGACAAAAGACTTTTTCTACCAGATACACACATATGTGTCATCTCATGGCAATGTGTCTGGAAGGATACCTGCTTCTGTGGAGGGGACTGGAATTGGGAATAGTGATCGAGGGGAACTCGATTTTATCTTTAATATTTGAATCTCTACTGTGAGAAGATATCTCTTTGTGACTTATGAAATCAAAAGCAAATTTTTAAATAAAAATGAGAAAACAAAGTGGCCAGGAAGTAGTGAGGAAGAGGTGAAGAGCTTTGCCATCTGGGAGCGAAGGGGAGGATCACAGAAAACATGACATCAGAACTGGATCTTCATGAAAGCACTGAGGCAGAGGCACAGCCGCTCACGCCTGTAATCCCAGCGCTTCGCGAGTCAAGGTGGGAAGATTGCTTGAGTCCCAGAAGGTCAGGGCTGCAGTAAGCCAAGATCATGCCACTTCATTCCAACCTGGGTGACAGAGCCAGACCCTGTCTCGAAACAAAGCTAAACACAACAAAACAGAAAAGCAAAAAAAGGAGGTGTTGCTAAAGACATGGGAGCTTGAGAAGAAAATAATGCAACTGGAATTTGTGCCAACAGAGTTTGGGTGCTGTGGTTGGGTGGGGAGAGGAAAGGAAGAATGGATAGATCAGGCTGCAAGGACAGGGTTAGGGTTGGTTGTCAAGGGCTTTCTGACCACATGAGGGAGGTTGAACTTTGTGTAGACAAGTTTTTAAGCCACCCTAAGTAACATGATCACATCAGAAGGATCCTGTGTCAGCCATGTGGAGGATGGATGGAGGGGCAGGGAATAACTGGTTTAAGAGGCTGCTGAATTGCCCAATCGAGAATTGCAAAATAGTGTCTACATAAGGAGAGACAAAGGGGTTGATTTGAAAGATAATTAGGAGGAACAACAAACAGTACTTGCCTCTCAGCATCTACCCCAACTTTTTGTGGTAACTGTCCTCTGCTTTGGGAGCATCACCTTTTTTCACTTTTAGCCCTGGTGCTTTAGGCTCGGGGCTCTATGGGTAGGACAGGTGACCTATGCTAAGGCATTAACTCAAGTCACCTTTCCGGGAGTAGCACACGACATTAATAAGTCCCATCAGGCCATCAAAACCCGTCCTGGGACTTTTGTTTTGTTTTGCATTGTTTTAAATAGAGACAGGGTCTCGCTTGATTGCCCAGGCTGGTCTTAAATTCCTGGCCTCATAGAACTCTCCTGCCTTGGCCCCCCAAAGTGCTGGGATTACAAGCATGAGTCACCGTGCCTGGCTGTGTTTGGGGACTCTTGTAAAGGAACTTCCTCCTGCTGGGCCAAGTTGCATAATGATGGGAGTCTGTGTTGCCCAAAGTTGCCATGGACCTGGGATGGAGCTGACCCAGGGGAAGTAGATGCTGACCCAGCATCTACAGCTGGATGCTGGTAGCATCTTTTAAGCCCAGAATTGAGCCATATCTTAGCTAGCTGTGCCTTGGATTTATCATGAGTCAATGAGCCAGTGCTGGTGAATTTTTAAAACATTTTTTGATCTAATCCAGTTTGAGTTGAGTTCTCTGTTTAAACTGACTCCAAACTAAAGGTATTCACAGTAAGTCCCTAATGATTAGCATTGGGAACAGGTAGCATCTTTGAAATTCACTGCTCTTGGATTGGTGTCATGATGAGGATAGAAGACAAAACCATGTTCGATGTTCGTAGCCACTGTCAGCCCCTTCTTAGGGAGGGGCTGTGAACATCCCTCATAATTTGCTACATTAGTGGAATCTAGGTCTTACAGACCCTGGAAGGTGGCCCGGAACACTGACTGTCAGATGTTGAGATCTCACAGATTTCACAGAGCAACACAATTCCAAAGAAAAATCTTAGATTCCAAAGTAGAATTGCCAAGTTTAAATTTTGTTGGGTTAAAAACGCACACAAACAAAATCACTGCCTTCATCATCTTCGTAACATCATGAAAGAGCTAACACTGTCACACACCCACGAGCAGGAAAGGGAATGGGTAGCAATGAAAGATAGCCCTCATAAAATGAATACACTGGCTTTGTGAAAGACTTGCTCATACCCGTTTTTCTCATTTTGTCTCAGACATGTGCATGCTTTTCACTTGCAATACCAATCTGCTCGCTGGCTTTGTGGAGAATCCTGTGCCCCTCAGTAATGTGCCCCCAGCCCTCAGCGCCCATCCACATCCCTGGGACAGGGAGCATCTGGATAACACAGGGTTCTAGGGACCCCCAGCAGAAAGAATGAAAAGCCGAAGCCTAGTAGGAAAATTGAGGATCCCAAGGAAAGATCTCACTGTTTGGGCAGGGAGGATCAAGCCAGAAAAGCCAGGTAGGGAGCACGTAGAACATAGATGGGCTTGGAAAAAACCTCCCCTTCCCACCACTGGCAGAGCCCAAGCAGCTCTCTTCCCAACCCACTGCCTGAATAGGGATGCCTGGAGCCCTGAGCACAGAGTGCTTCCAATGCTGGGTCAACATGAAGGTCCTGGGAGAGACTGGGGACTGTAAACAGGCAGGTTTCCACCTCCAGAACAGAGGCAGCTTCCTGGGGGCCTCAGTGTCAACAGAGACTGGGGTGTGTACAGGAGCATGTACATGGCTCTGAAGGGCTCCTGTGCTTCCGGGAACAGTGGCTCATTCAAGTTAGCTCCAGTGGGGGAGGGGATTCTTTCCCACCACATCGCTCACAGGAGCAGGCGCTTACCCTTCCACCCCATCAAACCAGGCTGGTAGAAGGGAGTCTTTGACCAGTAAAAGTTGGATACACACTGGAGTTGTGCAGTCAATATCAGAAAGTGCTCTCAAGTTCCAGTGTGATGGACGTGAACATCCCAGCCCTCCCCCTACACACACACACACACACACACACACGTTGGAGACTGGATGGAACCAGTGGCTAACAAGGATAACAAGACCCAAGGAATAACATGAAGAGTGAAAAAATCAGGGAGGGAGGCCAGAGGAGGGGGGCTTCCCAATGCCCAAGTCCACAGGCATAATGGAAGGATAGGAAATGCAATGAAAAAAGAAAAGTACTGTTTTCCACCATGCCCTGCACGTACAAATTCACAAAAGAGCTTTTCTGTTTTCTGGCAGTAGCCTCAGTCTTTCCACTCTTCTGGCTGAGTTAAGGGATTATGTAAAGATATACAGGGGGCATCAAGGGGAGCCAAAGAATTCATGAACTGGAATCCTAGTACAGGAGGCCTCACAAAGTCTACACCAAGAGTTAGTGACAGATTCAAAGAAGGATCCTTGGCAGACTGAAATCCTCAGGTCTTTTCAAGTGATCTGACCTTAATACAACACCACCTCTTCGTCCTTGTTAATTTCTTTCTGATGCTGCCAACATGTGTATCTTTCCCTTATATCCCACCCAAGATTCCCAAGTGACTTCAAGATCTGAACGACTCTGGACAATGGTCTCAGTGGGGTTCCAAAGGCCACAATCTCTGGCCAGGCTACAAATCACCTGACCTTGGGCTAAGTGTCCACCAACTGGGGCAGAGAACGGCAGGGGAGGGAACTTATGGCTGCCTTGGATGTGGGCACGTGAGTGCAGCAGTTTCCCTTAGGCATGCAGGGCAGGCAACCCGATTGATATGTCTGGTTCAACTTGCAGGAGTCCAGCTCTGTCTCCAGGGTGGCTCTCCAAGGAGCTTGGAGCACTATTGTGTCATCCCCGAGCATTGTAGATTCCCAACCGATACACATCCAGTTACAGCTCTTGAACTCCATGTCTCCGAGGTCAAGTGTGGCTGAGTGACTTGAGATCCCACAACCCCATGCTCCTGGGGGCCCAACTGTGTAACAGAGAAGCTGGAGAATGTATGCCAAGTCATATGCACTGTGTTCTTTATTGAGACAGAGGTGGGATGGGGAAGGTAACCCTCAGGCAAAGAAGTGAAAGGAGGGAGAAGTGGGAGCCATCTATTTCCCAATTCTTCCCTTCCTCCCAGCTGACGATGGTGGGGCGGCCACCAGCCAAGGGACTAAGAAGTAAGACCCCCTTAGATACAAGCACAGTGTTCCGTGAGAAGGTTGGGCACTGTCTCATACTTGAAAGAGTAACCCCCATCCGAGGTGGTCCGGACATGTAGGGGCCTCATGGTCCCTGGGAGAGCAGCACAGCAGGGCTGGGCCCCTGGCAGCAAGGAAGGGGGCTGGGCTGGGGTAGGGGAAGCCCCAGGTACCACAAGGGGCAGGTTTGGTGGGATGTGCAGCCCACAACCACCATGACAGTAGTGGAAGATGAAACTGGGAGGGTACACGATCCACCGTTCCCAGCCCAGCTCTTGGAAGGAGATGTTAAGTGCTACTCTGTGGCAGTTGGCGTGGGCAGCTGGTTCCTCCTGAGGCCTCTGCAGCAGGCGCAGGGCAGCGGGAGACCAAGGCCAGGACACTGGGGGAGTTGAGCGCCGGGCTCTCTCCCCTCCACTGGCTGGTCTGGTCCGAGTGTGGGCCACCAGGAAGGGCGTGGCCTCAGGCCGGGCTGAGCAGGAACAGAGAGGACAGCGCAGCAGCAGCACCAGGACAGGTTGGGTCAGCAGAGAGAGAGCAGAGGTGGCCAGGTGCAGCACGGCCCAACGAGGGGGGGCATGGCCCAAAGACATGCGCACAGCCATGGGTCCCCCCGGTGACAGTGCCAGCAGGCCTAGCAGGGGCCCAGAGCTATTGGAGGCTGCTGTGCTCTGCCTGTCCAGCCCAGTGTGGAACCACAGCTGGGCCGAAGTCACCTGGCGACTGCGTGTATGCTGGGATGGCCGGAACGTGTACGTGAAGAGGCCCTCCTCAGCCTCCTGGGCCAGTTCCCTAGCAGCTGACTTGTCTTCACAGCTAGCACCTGCAGGAGACAGAAGAGAAGGGAGAGGGCAGCACCACTGATTGGCAGGACCTGGCACCCCTCCTCAATAGGAGGGACGTGGCTGCCAGTCATGAGCTAATGATGGGCTGCACTCTGCTCTGTGCCCTCCCGGGCATGGGAACTCTCCTGAGTCTTGGGAGAGCTTCTGCAAGCTTCCTATTTTTTAATTTCTTCATGAAAGAACTTAAAAAAATACAAGACACTGCCAGCTTCTCTCTGAAGTGGTTTTACCAATTAACATGCCCGTCAGCAGTGTGTAAGAGGCCCTGACCCTCTACACTTCACCAGCACTAAGAAATGGTAGTTAGACTTCAATGCTTACTTACCAGATAGTGTGAAACAGTACCTTGGGTGGTGTCTACACAGATGGTTGTTATATTACTTTTTGTTGTTGTTTAAGACAGAATATTGTTCTGTCACCCAAGCTGGAGTGTAGTGGCATGATCATGGCTCACTGCAGCCTCTACCTCCCAGGCTCAAGCAATCCTCCCACCTCAGCCTCCCGAGTAACTGAGACCACAGGCGTATGCCACCACATCCAGCTCATTTTTCTATTTTTTGTAGAGACTGCTCTTGCTATGTTGCCCAGGCTGATCTCGAACTCCTGAGCTCAAGCAATCTCCCTGCCTTCGACTTCCAAAGTCCTGGGATTATAGCCGTGAGCCATCACACTGAGCCATGTTACTTTCTTTGGCATGTCAGGAATATTGCATATCATACAATTATGATAAATTCCTTAATTCCATTTTTAAAAGCCAAGTTAACACCAAAAAAACAAAAGAAGAAGGAGGGAAAGGTGGGTGGGAAGGAGAAGAAAACCAAGAACAAGGAGGAAGGGGAAGAGGAGGAGGAGGGTTGTAACTCAGAACAGAGGACAATCATTTCAAGAATGTCCATTTGGGAACAGGCGCAGTGGCTCACGCAGTAACTCAGAACAGAGGACAGTCCTTTCACGAATGTCCAGTTGGGGACAGGCACAGTGGCTCACGCCTGTAATCCCAGCCAAGGTGGGTGGATCACCTGAGGTTGGGAGTTCAAGACCAGCCTGGCTAATATGGCGAAACTCTGTCTCTACTAAAAATAGAATAAATGAGCTGGGCGTGGTGGCACGAGCCTATAATCCCAGCTACTTGGGAGGCTGAGGCAGGAGAATCGCTTGAACCCGGGAGTCAGAGATTGCAGTGAGCCAAGATCACGCCATTGCACCCCAGCTTGGGCAGCAAGAGCAAAACTCCATCTCAAAAAAAATAAAGAAAGTGCAGTTAGCATCCTTACACTGACACACTCGTAGACTATACTAATCATCCCGGAGTAGCACCCATTATATATTCACAAATTGGTCCATTTTGCAAATAAGGAGACTGAGGCTTAGAGAGGTGAAATGACATTCAACGACTAAGTGGCCAGGCTGGGATTTTGCCTGAGCTCAAAGCCATCCTTTTCCCCATGGTGCTGTGGAGGGGGTGAAGTGAGGGAGGCAGGGGTCCTCTCTAAGAGAAAGGTGGACCAGATGACAAGAAAGGCCACCCGGAAGAGGGTTTATCCTTTCAGTCAGTGGAACAAGGGGACACACGTAAGTTGAGACAGGAACTCAAGAGGAGATAGACAAGTTTTCCAGAAAAGTTTCCCAACTAATCTTTTGCCTGTATCTCTGATAGCTTCTCAGTCTCAGCTACCTGGGACTAAATAGGGATTGGAGCAGCGAGCAGGAGCAGAGGCAGAGATAGGAAGAAAGGTGGCCAGCCCAGACAGCCCCATCTCTAGAGACCCCTGGTCTCCTGGCGCATCCCTCCCAAATGCCTCCCACATGCCACGCACTCTAGGTGCAGCATCTCAATCCTGAGAGGTCGGTGTAATCGCCCATTTTATAGATGGGGAGATAGAGGCACAGGGAGGCTTAGCAACTGGCCTATTGTTGCAAATACACTGAATGACAGGGCTGGGATTCAAACTCTGGTCCACCTGGCCTGCAAACCCATGTTGTGCCTCGCAGCTTCTCAGTTACCCTGCCAGTTCCCTCACCCTTGTTACCTGTGGCTGGGAAAAGGATGGCCTGGGAGACATCCTCCTTCTCTGGTTCAGAGCCCCTGCGTGTGGAGCCCCCGAGGGCATGTCTTCGGGGCAGCCGCCTGACTGCAGGGTCCCCACTTTCCTTGGTCACCGCTGGGGGCCCCAAGGCATCCAGGAACAGGGCCCTCACCTTGGCCAGAACAAGCTCCCGGGCCAGCTCTGACCCTTCGCAACTGTGCCCACCCTGTGGGGCCAGCAGCAAGAAGAGCAGCAGTGGCAGCGCCATGGCTCACCTGGCCCTACTAGCGGGGAACCCACTCCCTGCCCTGTGCCCCTTCTGCCAGGGTGTGCCCAGGGCCTCCCTGCTTTCCCCTCCTCATCCCACACCCACCCTCTTCTACCCTTCTCACCCAGTCTTCCCACGCCCCACAGTTCGAGTTGCCCCTGCCCGTGGCATTGAGCCCTCCTATCTCTGACGTAGATGTCTGTGGCCATGAGCCTTATCTCCCACTCCCGCCAGGAATGTGGGGGAGGGGCTGGAGAGGGTTTCGCCCCAAGTGACCCGACCCACATGCAAACATACAACCCCTTCTCCCTACACACATACACACGAACACACACACACACATCCAGAGGGGACATCAACTCCCTATTCACACACACACACACACACACACACACACACACACACACACAGAGTCTCACATCCAGAGGTGACATCAAGCCTGGGAGCTATAGCCGGCCAGCCCCAGAAAGTGTCATTTGTCCAGGAGACAAGAGTGCACCACCTCTCAGACCTTCTGGGGCCCCTTTCAATGAGCAGCTGCTGGGCAGGCCAGCCATTGGGGGAAGGGCTGGGGCCGGGGCTAGAACAGGAGCTAGGGCGGGGGCCAGGTGGTCCCGCCTGCTCTAAACTTAGCCCAGAGGAGCCAGTCTGGGCTCTTGTTCTCCAGCTGTGTCATCAGAGAATATTTTTGGGATTGGCAGCTGCAGGCGCCTCTGCCACTCAGGCCCAAGCCTGGCGGGCGGGCGGCTGGGGACCTGGCGGCTGGAGGTGGGAGGGAGGAGGGGAAAGAGGCCCAAGCTGTGGGAGGGGGCTGGGAAGAGAGCCTCCCCAGAGCAGGAAGCCAGGCCGCGGGCAGAGGCTGCGGGGCCCCTCGCTGGAGAGGCAAACAGGAAGGACTGCCCCCTAAGCGCCGGGCTCTGGGTCAGGGAATCGCCGCCGCCGCAGAGCTGCAGCTCCAGGCCAAGGGTAGGGAGGCGAGCAGGGAGCGGGCGGCCTGGGAGAGCTCCGCGGGTCCCCGCGCCCGGTCGCCAGCCGCGCCCCGGCCCCGGGACCCTCGCCGACGCCCCCGGCCTCGGCTCGCTCTCCGCCCACCCTCCCTGGTTCGCCACTGCGGGCGGTCTGCGGCCGCCGCGATGAAGGCGAGCTCGGGGGACCAGGGGAGTCCCCCGTGCTTCCTGCGCTTCCCGCGGCCCGTGCGGGTGGTAAGTGGCGCCGAGGCCGAGCTCAAGTGCGTGGTCCTGGGGGAGCCGCCGCCCGTTGTGGTGTGGGAGAAGGGAGGGCAGCAGCTGGCGGCCTCGGAACGCCTGAGCTTCCCGGCGGACGGCGCGGAGCACGGCCTGCTGCTGAGCGGCGCGCTGCCCACCGACGCGGGGGTCTACGTGTGCCGCGCCCGCAATGCGGCCGGAGAGGCCTACGCGGCGGCCGCCATCACCGTGCTGGAGCCGCCGGCCTCCGAGCCCGAGCCGCAGCCCGCCGAGCGCCCGCTGCCGCCGCCGGGGTCCGGGGAGGGCGCCCCGGTCTTCCTGACGGGGCCGCGGTCCCAGTGGGTGCTGCGGGGGGCGGAGGTGGTGCTGATGTGCCGGGCGGGGGGCCTCCCCGAGCCCACGCTGTACTGGGAGAAGGACGGGATGGCGCTGGACGAAGTGTGGGACAGCAGCCACTTCGCGCTCGAGCCTGGCCGTGCCGAGGACGGCCCGGGCGCAAGCCTGGCGCTGCGCATCTTTGCGGCGCGGCTGCCGGACTCCGGCGTCTACGTGTGCCACGCCCGCAACGCGCACGGCCACGCGCAGGCTGGCGCGCTGCTCCAGGTGCAGCAGCCCCCCGAGAGCCCGCCCGCCGACCCCGACGAGGCCCCCGCGCCCGTGGTGGAGCCGCTCAAGTGCGCGCCTAAGACCTTCTGGGTGAACGAGGGCAAGCACGCCAAGTTCCGCTGCTACGTGATGGGCAAGCCCGAGCCCGAGATCGAATGGCACTGGGAGGGCCTCCCGCTGCTCCCGGACCGCCGCCGCCTCATGTACCGCGACCGCGACGGCGGCTTCGTGCTCAAGGTGCTCTACTGCCAGGCCAAGGACCGCGGGCTCTACGTCTGTGCCGCGCGCAACTCGGCGGGCCAGACGCTCAGCGCAGTGCAGCTGCACGTGAAAGGTACGGCAGCGCCCGGGGCCCGGGGAGCGGCCTTGCGTGTCCTCCAAGGCCCGCCGAACCCCGGCCCCTCTCGGTGCCCGGCGCTGCCCTGAAGACTAGGGGAGGGGAGGTCGGCGGGAATATTAAAATACCAAACCCGCCCGCCTCCCACTCACGGGATTCGGATTTAGTAGGTCTCCAGGGTTCTCAGAAACTTCTTAGAAAACTCCCCAAATGATTCTGAGGCAGATGGTGGAACACCACTAAGAAGTGACTGATGTACAAACCTAGAAGGGCCTAGAACTCCTCCCCTAGTGGGTTTCAACGTCTTTGTTATTTTACTCCTCCTTCCCCAACTGAATTCACAACCGGAGCCCCAATAGACGAAACAGATAAAGGAGTGTTTTATGGGTGTAAACTGCTAAGTCTAAGTGTGTAACAGGCACTTCTAAAGCGTCAGTGAGAATCAGGAGGCCGTTTTATTGAATATAAGCACTTGAAGTGAAGGCTGCATTTGTGGTTCAGGCTCTGAACCCTGTGGGGACGGCCTGGCTGCACCTGTCACTTTGAGAAACGGCCGTTTCAGTGGAAAGGTAGACTTGAGAGTGGACAAATGTCCTGAATGTTTTTACCGTTCTTTGATTAAACTGCTCCCCACGTTTGAAAGAGGAAGGTGAAAGAGAGATTTACATTTCAAAGTTGAATCACCAACAATATCCAATAAATGCTTACATTCTCATAAACAGAAAATTCAAAGGGAAAAAAACACACCCCAAACTCACTGGAAGGTAACGCTCTCCGTAACAGGATTTCATCACAATGCAAAGGATTACACCTTCACTAGTTGTCCAGATTTTTCGCTTGGAGGAAAAACAAAGTTGGTAAATTGTCCTGAGTCCTGCCTGGCATGCAGTCAAGCATGTGGCCCCCAGGCTGTGGTGGTGGCCCCACTGGTACAGTTCGATGTGCACAGATTCGCCAGGCTGGTCTGGATCTGGACCTCCATCAGGGAGGAAAAGCCCTGAAGGAAAGCTAGAGGTGCTTCCCAAAATTGCACACACACAAAAAAATTTGCTTCTCCAGAAACCTAAGTTAACGTTCTGGTTTCTAACATCCTGTTGTTTTTTTAAATACACTATTTTTTTGGAGACAGAGTTTCACTCTTGTTGCCCAGGCTGGAGTGCAATAGCGCAATCTTGGTTTGCGCAACCGCAACCTCCGCCTCCCAGGTTCAAGCAATTCTCCTTCCTCAGCCTCCCAAGTAGCTGGGATTAGAGGCATGCGCCACCATACTCTGCTAATTTTGTGTTTTCGTAGAGATGGGATTTTTCTTTGTTGCTCAGGCTGGTCTCGAACTCCCGACCTCAGGTGATCCACCCGCCTTGGCCTCCCAAATTGCTGGGATTACAGGCAGGAGCCACCTTGCCTGACCGAAATACACTTTTGAAAATAGTTAAAATATTTTAAATTCTACTCAGACCTTTGTGGAACATATGAAATGCCTGGGGGAGGGGGGCCTGGAACAGTTTGGAAATCACCAATCTGGTCCAACCCTTTCCCTCTCTTTCCCCATTTTACAAGTAAGGAGACTGAGGCTCAGAAACATTGAAATGGACTCTCTCAAGGTGATGCGGCTAGTAAGTGTCAGGCCTGGATGAGAACTTAGGCCGTCTTAGGAACCACCGCTTGCCTTCTGGTGGTCGTGATTCCACAATGCCTGCTGGCTCTGCATGAAGAGCACGCAGCCTGAGCTAATGCGCTCTGAGGAGTCCTCCTCCTAATCTGACCCTTCTCCAAAGCCCTCTCTTGTCTCTCCCCTCTCCACAGAGCCCCGCCTCCGGTTCACAAGGCCCCTGCAGGATGTGGAGGGCCGTGAGCACGGGATTGCAGTGCTGGAGTGCAAAGTACCCAACTCCCGCATCCCCACGGCCTGGTTCCGAGAGGACCAGCGGCTGCTGCCCTGCCGCAAGTACGAGCAGATCGAAGAGGGCACCGTCCGGCGCCTCATCATCCACAGGCTGAAAGCAGACGACGACGGTGTCTACCTGTGCGAGATGCGGGGCCGGGTGCGCACCGTGGCCAATGTCACAGTCAAAGGTTGGCTGGCCCTCGGGGAAGAGGCTGAGGCAGAGGCAGGCAGGTGCTCAGACTCCAGGCTGATGGATTCCCGTCTGCATCTCAGGACCCATCCTGAAGCGCCTGCCCCGGAAGCTCGATGTCCTGGAGGGAGAGAATGCAGTGCTGCTGGTGGAAACTCTAGAGGCCGGGGTCCAGGGACGGTGGAGTCATGATGGAGAGGAGCTGCCGGCCATCTGCCAGACCACCTCAGGCCACATGCATGCGCTGGTCCTTCCAGGGGTCACCCGAGAAGATGCTGGCGAGGTCACCTTTAGCCTGGGCAACTCCCGTACCACTGCGCTGCTCAGAGTCAAATGTGAGGGCAGGAAGGCCTCTGGACAGGCAGGCCAGGGTGGGAGGTTGGCCAGATGCCCCAGCTGGGTTGGTGAAGTAGATTTAAGGTGGAAGGGCTGTGGAGGCCCGAGCAAGGCTGGAACACATCCTTGCCTTGGTCTCAGGCGTCAAGCACAGTCCCCCAGGGCCCCCCGTGTCGGCAGAGATGTTCAAGGGTCAGAAGAACACGGTCCTGCTGACCTGGAAGCCTCCTGAGCCTGCTCCCGAGACCCCATTCATCTACCGGCTGGAGCGGCAGGAAGTGGGCTCTGAAGACTGGATTCAGTGCTTCAGCATCGAGAAAGCCGGAGCCGTGGAGGTGCCGGGTGACTGTGTGCCCTCCGAGGGTGACTACCGCTTCCGCATCTGCGCAGTCAGCGGACATGGTCGCAGTCCTCACGTGGTGTTCCATGGTTCTGCTCACCTTGGTGAGTTGGTCCTGCCAGACCCGCCCATCACTTCTCCCTGCCCCAGCCCTCAGTGCTGGTCCTCTCACAGGCCTGCCATCCACCAGCCTCTGCCCTCTGCCACCCCTTCTAGTTCTAACAGCTGCACTCTGTCACTGCCTCAGTGCCCACAGCTCGCCTGGTGGCAGGTCTGGAAGATGTGCAGGTATACAACGGGGAAGATGCCGTCTTCTCCCTCGACCTCTCCACCATCATCCAGGGTACCTGGTTCCTTAATGGGGAAGAGCTCAAGAGTAACGAGCCGGAGGGCCAGGTGGAACCTGGGGCCCTGCGGTACCATGTGGAGCAGAAGGGCCTGCAGCACAGACTCATCCTGCATGCCGTCAGGCACCAGGACAGCGGGGCCCTGGTCGGCTTCAGCTGCCCCGGTGTGCAGGACTCAGCTGCCCTCACCATCCAAGGTTGGTGCCCATGGGGACCTGAGTGGGCAGAGAGGGTCAAGA